TAGGAGCCGTTTATTGTAGAACAACAGAGCTATTTATACATTCCACACAGCCTATCTTAATTAGCATAAACTAGATACATCAGTCAACCAATAAGGAATCTCCACACTTAATGGCTCGCTTTTGTTACTTCTCAAACCACTCCCTCTGGCATTTTGCTAGGCACCATCCAGACTTGTTTAGGAACTCTAACATTCCCCTGGCAAAATGCCAGGTGTTATTTTGACTTGTTTACAAACTCTAACAAGAAATCAAAATAGAATTGCCTTAGTTCATTTTGTGTTGTTACAATGAAATACCTGAAACTGGGTATTTTATAAAGAAAAGAGGTTCATTTAGCTTATGTATCGTTCTGGTGGTCTAAGAGCATGGCACTGACATCAGTTTCTGGTGAGGGCCTTGTGGTGAGCAGCATAACATGGCAGAAGAGTATGTGAATGTAGTAAATGGTTTATGCATAAAAGGCCAAGAATGTGGGATGGTCTCACTCTTAGGGTAACTAATTTAGTCTCTTGAGGTCTATTCCATTTCTGCTAGACAATAATTGATCCTTCCAAGGGTGGTGTCCTCATGACCAATTGTCTTCCTTAAAGTATCCACCATCCCAGTACTGCCTCACTGGGGAATGAAGTCTCAATTTGAATTCTGGCAGTGACAAACCACATTTAGACCATAGAAAAAGGTATATGAACTTGGAAGGAGGTAAAACCGCCATTGATAACAAGTGATAGACCTTCATACCTACAATACCAAAGGGAATTCCATCACAATATAGATACAATTAATAAAACAATTCAATAGTTTGTCTCTGAATAAAATTAATATGTAAAACTTCACATTAGCATTTGAATGTTTAATTTACTTCAAATGATAAATTTAAAAATGTAAACAAAAAATTACACTTATGGTAGCAATAAATATAATAAAGTATTTGAGCATATGATCAATAAGATATGAGTAGGTTTTACATTTTTAAAAAGTTTAGGGGGCTGAAGATATAGCTCAGTATTAGGGCTCTCACCAAGCATGCCTGAGTTCCTGGGTTCCATCACTAGCAAAACAAAACAAAACAAATGGAAAACTACAGAAACAATAAATATTTTTGAAATGCTACTGAGAAAAAGGCTTCGGCAAATGGGAATACATAACATAATTCATCATGATAAGATGAACATCAAAATCTCCCTACATTCACCCAGAAATTTCACAGGATCTAAATAAAAACTGCACAGTTATTTTAGAAAACAATCAATGTGATTCTAAATTTTATGTGAAAAAATAAATAAGCAAGAATTATCAGCAATATTCTGAAAATGAAAAATAAAGAGAAAAATCCGACTAGGCAAATTGGTAAAATGAAACGTTAATGTAAAAGACAAAATCATTGAGGGATTTTCTTTACATAATCTTATTTCAAGTAAACATTTTCTTAATAAGACTCAGAGAATCATAAGAGAAATGATTAATACATTTACCTCAACAAAGATTTTAAAAATCATGGGAAATAACACCATAAAAAGGAAAATACATAAAAGATAAGTTGGAAGAAATACTTGCAACTCATAGACAGAAGACATTTTTCTACTATATAAGAATGTTAGGCAATCAATAATCCAATGACCCAAAAGTTCAGTAAGAAAATCGGGAAAGAGAATGCATGTATTATTCACAGAAAATAATATGTATTGGCGCTTAAGTATGTGAATAGCTGCACAAAGTCACTCAGGATAAGGGAAACTCAAGTTATAATGGTAGTGAGATGCCATTTCTTAGAATGGGGAACATCAAAAAGATTGACAGCACATCATGTTGATAAATGTGTTAGGCAACAATTTAACTGGCATGCTTTATACTAAGGGCAATTTAACAATATATAGCAAAGATAAAAAATACATGTATCCTTTGAGCTAGCAATTCTATTTCAAAATAATTTACAATCTCCAACATATGTGAAATGACATAGGTACAAGTTATTTATTATAGAATCACTTGTAATAGCAAAAGACTAAAAATACTAAAATGTTTACTAAAAGGAGAAGAATATTATGTAGAAACACACAATAGAAGAAGGGATTGTAAGAAGTTTTTCTTATGTACATGTATGGAATAATGTCCAATGAAAAGTGTCCTAGCCTCTTTGGGCAGCTATAACAAAATAACCATAAACCGAGTAACATTTAAACAGAAGAAATTTTATTTCTCCACAGTTCTAGAGGCTGAGAAATCCAAAAATAAAGTGCAGGAAGATTTCATATCTGGCAAGACCACTTTCTGGTTCATAGTCCCTTCTACCTGTGTCCTCAACTATGGAAAGGTACAAATCCTTAAAAAGTTACTAATATTAAAGCTTTGCCCTCTTAACCCCCAAACCCACCAAAGACTCATTCTTTTAACACCATCTCCTTTGGGGAGGGGTAGGATTTAAACATGTGAATTCTGGATGGACACAGACATTCAAATAATACATATAATAAATGAAAAAAAAAGAAATGAGCAGCAGAGTTCATGCGAACATTTAAAGAAAATGTAAAAAGAAATTCACGTATTAAATATTTCTAGATGCATGGCTAAAATTATTGCATAGAAATTTACTATAACGATAAGAATTAGGTTACAGGGTTGAAGTTAGGGAGAACATTTCATTTGCCATTACATTTTTTAATGTTATTGCACTAATACTTGTCTTCGTCTGTTTAGTGTTGCTATAAAAGTATATCTGAGATTGGGTTACTTATAAAGAAAAGAGGTTGATTCTGGCCTGTGGTTCTGGAGGTTGGGAATATCAGGTGGCTACATCTGGTGAGGGCTTGATACTGCTTCAGCTCTTGACAGAAGGCAGAAGGGAAGCAGATGCATGTGGAAGCAGATGGGCCAAACTCCCATAAGAGTTCATCCATTTCCTAGGAGGCTCTACCTCACAATGCAAATATACCTCCCACTCGGCTTACCTTCCAGTACTGTGCAAAAGCAATCAAATTTCATGATAAATCTCAGAGAGAATAAACCATAGCAGTACTTACTATGATTAAAATGAATTAAATTTGAGTTAAAAGAAAAAAA